TCAAAATAAATGTTCGCCTCTCCGTTTCCCGAGGGCTAAGAATATGAGTGGGCACAGGGAGAAAGAGACCTCCTTACTGACAGGGAACACAAAGGAAGCCTTTTGGGAAGGGCGCGTGGGTGAACTCTGAGACGGTGCGGGCAGCAGGGTTCTTGGGTTTCTGTGGGCTCACTTGGTGAAGAAACTCTATAGGACTTCCTTGTGAAACTGGGCTGGGGCGGGGGCAGGGACTGGAAGCTAATATCAACACACCTCCAACAGTGCAAGTGCTTTGGTGATTGGGGTTAGAATTTAGGGAAGCGGGGTGTACCAGCTTCCTTCTGAGTTCTGGGGACCCACACTTCCCTCCACCCTGTTGTGTAGTATAAAGTTTATACCTTTATATGACAACGCAATTCCACTGTCAGTGCTTCTTCTTTAGGTTGATTGGACTCTGGTTAAAGTTTTGTCCCCCTCTTCCCCCATAGTTCTTATCTCTGTGTCTGCAGCAGTTAGCTTACTACTTGGCATAGGGGGGTTCATTTTGTAGTTAGCAAAGTAGCACTTTAAATTGAAACGTGGTAATATTCTAAAAGGCCACAAGATGGCCTCGTTTCACTGCGGAAGTGCGTGAAACACGCCTGAGTTATATTAACATTTCCTTTGCTGCAAAAGTGAGAGATTTCATAACATGTATTCCTGAGTCTGAAGGAGGAATTAAAGTGCTTTTAATGTTTAAGTTTCTTGTTCATCTAAAATTATATTAAAGTCATAGTATTACTTATCATTCTCCCTTGTGGCTTTGAAAAACAGTAAGATTTAATCTTTGTCGTTCTTTCGATATTATCTTTATAATAACACTGAAGTAAATGTCTTGGTACACATGGGATAGTAAATGGTATTTCTCATTCTTAGACCTCACGATGGTGATTGTCACTTTTTTTATGTGAAGCCTCACTAAATTGCGTGTTCCTTTGCTCTGTTTCTTGCAAGTTGACTCGGTGCCCGGTGGTGATGCTCGTAATTCAGGCACACTAGCGACAGCATCATCGCCCACACACTGAACCCTGAAAGCCCGGCTCCCCAAACCTGCACTGACTGCGGGGGCGGGGGGCGGGGGGGTGGGGTGGGGGTGGGAGGGAAAGGCCAGCTTCTGAGGACATGGGCACGAAGTTGTTCACAGAGCCCTGTGTCCCTCACTCACCAATTGCGGAAGCTGCAAGCGCCTTCAGACCATGTCCACGCAGCTGCAGGTACTCTACGTTTTTAACGCAACACATTTTCTCCCCCCCCCCCCCCCCCCCGCACTAAATTGCCAGCAAGGTTTTCATGACTAGAGGCACTATGTGTGCCATAGTCCCCTCATATCCACTTTTGTCACTATGAGTTGTACGAAGACTTTTACAAAGTTAAAATTTGTCCCATACATCTTCTTGCAAGGGGTAGCCGTGGAGCACACTTCACTGCGCTAATGCAGTTTTTGCTCTATCTGGTTGGAAGACTTGAGCTGTCTGTCTGCCATCTTTGGGATGGCTGCATTTGGAAAGCTGTGTGAGCATTGCCAGCTGCAGTGCTGGGCATCTGCTCGTCCCTGCTTTCTGACCTGCTTCTTCCTGAATTCCGCTTGTCTGTCAGAGCTGATGTCTTAGTAAATGTGCGTGTTTATTCTCTCAGGACTGTGCATGCTGCTACTGTGTTACTGTAGAAAGCGTCCTATGTATGTGCTATACTGCTTTATAAGTTCCTCAGCAGATTCTGTATCAGTAAATACATTTTTAATAAAAGATTTAGAATGCTTGTACGTTAACCTTTGGAGATTTTAGACCTCTAAGATCTTTCAGGATTTCAACGTTTGGCATTATGGAATTATGGTATTGAGGAATATGTCTTTCTATATTATGGTCCAAACTCTATGCTAGGAAAGTCTGTCTTGGAATTTTGACATTTGGTCACTAGGCTAGGAAACAGACTCAATGTAAGAGACTTTCTAAATCTTCTCCAAGAATACAATGAAGATGGGCTCAGGTAATAATAACCTATTGGCTACAGCTTTCAGTACCTGCTTTTTGGGGGGCATGTGTGTGATAGGTCTCAACAATTTTGTCCCTTTAGGGAAGTCGTTTAGCAGATGTCCCTCTGGTGGCTGTCCCATATCAGGAGCTGCAGTCATGAAACTATGAAAGGTGCAGCCTCTGCCCTGAGGCAGCTGTAGACCCATGTGGAAGGAGCAAACCAGAGGATGTCTGTTAGCACATAGGGAAGATGTATTCAGCAGCGCAAGTGTGGCGGAGGGTGGGGGGTGAGGGTGGGGGGTGGGAGAGGAGGGGGATGGGTGTGGGAGACAATGTCTAGCTGATCAACCGTTTATTCACTTGATTAGAGCTGAATTCCAGGCCTTCTTAGGGCATGGTTATTGAGGTGGTTTGAATACAAATGACTCCTATAGGCTCATAAGCAGTGGCACTATTAGGAGGCGTGGCCTTGTTGGGGTAGGTGTGGCTTTGTTGAGGAAGGTGTGTTACTAGGGGAAGGCTTTGAGGACTCAGATTATTCTTGCAGGTCTAGTGTGACGTTCAGCTCCCGCTGCTTGTGGACCAAGATGAAGAAGGCTCAGCTCTTTCTCCAGTACCATGGCATTGGTGGAAGATGAATTACAGATGGCACCTGTGGATCGTGTGGGCCCAGAGCTTAAGTGCATTCTGGTCATACTACCTTCTAAGTATCTGCTATGGGAATTTAATGCAGAGGGAAGACATTATCCCAGAATGGATCTTTTTACCACATACACCAACTAAGAAATTAGAGACTTATGTGGAAACTATCTCTGAGTGGATTCTACAAGGAAAATTGAGACTTCATCAATTAGCAGGAATAGATCCAGCAGAAATTGTAGTACCTTTTACTAAGCGTGAAATTGAAAAACTATGGATAGAAACTGAACCCTGGCAAAGAGCTTGTAGTAATTTTTTTTGGGGAGTGGTCAACAACGATTATCCCAAAAGCAAGAGAATTCAACTTATAAAGAGGACTAACTGGGTCTTTCCTCACATTGTAAGGGAAACACCAATAACTGGAGCCCCTACATTCTATACTGATGTAAATAAATCTAGAAAGGCAAATTACAAATCAGAAAATGTAAATAAAGTGGATCTAAGTCCTTATAATTCTGCCCAAAAGTCAGAATTATATGCTGTTCTCATGGTGTTAATGGATCATAAAGAACATCCCAACATAGTTACTGATTCACAAGATGCAGAAAGACTTGTTTTACATATTGAAACTGCTGAATTTATACCAGATGACACAGACTTGACTTTATTATTTATTCAGTTCCAAGACATAATCAGGAACAGAAATCATCCCATATATATTTGATCCCATACAGGTCTGCCAGTCACTCTTGATCAACTATTGATAGGATATGTCCTGTAGGCCTTAGAATTTCATAAAAAAACCCCATGTCAACAGCAAAGGTTTGAAAAAAACTTTTCCATCACTTGGCAACAAGCCAAGGAAATTATAAGGAAATGTCCTATTTATTCTTTATACAGCCAAACTCCACTACCTGCAGAGGAAATAACCAATGGGCACTCAAAGGAATGAAATCTGGCTGATGGATATGTTCCATTTTGTAGAATTTGGAAAATTTAAATATGTATACCACATCATTGACACCTGTTCAGGTTTTCAAACGGCAACTGCTTTGACTTCAGAAAAGCTGATTCAGTAATTACACATTTGCTAGAAGTTATAGCCATCATGGATATACCTGCCCAAATAAAGACAGACAATACTCTGGCATATGTCTCTAAAAAATGAAACAGTTGTTTGCCTATTATAAGGTAAAGCATATTACAGGTATACCACATAATCCTATAGGGTAGGCAGTTATAGAAAGATCAAATAGAACTCTAAAAGATATGCTAAATGAACAGAAAGGGATAAAAAAGTACCCCCAAATGGATGCATAGTGATTTATTAACTTTGAATTTTCTGGATGCAAATGAGAAAGGAACAACAAATGCAGAGAGACATTGGATAATAGAAAAAAATGTAATTAAACAACAGTGTACTTCAAAGATGTGTTGACCTCTGAATGAAAACTAGGACATGTGTTACGTTGGGGAATAGGTTTTGCTTTTGTTTCCACAGGTGAAGAAAAATATGGATGCCAGAAAAATTGATAAAGATTCAATTTGAGCAAGACACCTCTTAATTAGAAGAGATGATAGTTCATCAAACAGCATGGTTGTTTAACCTAAACTAACCTATAAAACTAACAAACATTTTTTCCATTTGATCAGATATAACTTGCCAAGGAAAACTTCTCCAAAATTTAGAGTTGAGGAAGGGTTTTATTTTTTGTCTTTTCAGGAGACTAAAAGGTATCCAAACTAAGGAATCTGGAGACCACTGGACAAGTGAGACATCTGAAGAAAAAGGACACATCATCTAGAAAAACTGTCCCAAGAAAAAGAATAAATTGGCCTAGTGGTATATCACATTTACAACAGGGTAAAATTTCACAATTCTTCCCAAATGCAAATGCTTGTTTCTTATTTCTATACAGAAATATAATATGAATGATCTTTTTGTAGCCTCTGTCCAATTAATGATTAAAAGCTGACTTTGGAGTTGGAGAATGGCTCTCTCCTCCTCTAAACCCAAGCATGCTTGTTAAATTAAAATATAAAATCTCTGTCTAATGTTAGAAGAGCCATCTGATATGGAACATAAGGAAAACAAATATTTAGGACTATGGTATTGCTACCAATCTCATAATTTTTTGTCATGATATAGTACTAACTAATTCTATAAAAAAGGTCTTTCTATGAGGCTTCAATAACCTTGATCCCCAAGCCACACAAAGATACAACCAAGAAAGAGAACTTCAGACCAATATCCCTCATGAACATTGATGCAAAAATACTCAATAAAATACTGGCAAATCGGATCCAAGAACACATCAAAACAATCATTCACCACGATCAAGTAGGTTTCATCCCAGGGATGCAGGGATGGTTCAGCATACGAAAATCCATCAACGTAATCCACCATATAAACAAGCTGAAAAACAAAAATCACATGATCATCTCACTAGATGCTGAAAAAGCCTTTGACAAAATCCAACACCCCTTCATGATAAAGGTCTTGGAGAGATCTGGGATAACAGGGACATACTTAAACATAATAAAAGCCATATACAGTAAACCAACAGCCAACATCAAACTAAATGGACAGAAACTCAACGCAATTCCTCTAAAATCAGGAACAAAACAAGGCTGTCCACTCTCTCCATACCTTTTCAACATGGTACTTGAAGTTCTAGCTATTGCCATACGACAACAAAGGGGGATCAAGGGGATACAAATTGGGAAGGAAGAGGTCAAACTTTCACTGTTTGCAGACGATATGATAGTTTACATCAATGACCCAAAGAACTCTACCAGGGAACTCTTACAGCTGATTAACACCTTCAGCAAAGTGGCAGGCTACAAGATCAACTCAAGAAAGTCAGTAGCCCTATTATATACAGATGATAAAAGGGCTGAAAGAGAAATCAGAGAAACATCACCCTTTACAATTGCCACAAACAACATAAAATACCTTGGGGTAACGCTAACCAAACAAGTGAAAGACCTGTATCGTAAGAACTTTGAATCTCTAAAGAAAGAAATTAAAGAAGCCCTCAGAAAATGGAAAGATCTCCCATGCTCTTGGATAGGTAGGATCAATGTAATAAAAATGGCAATCCTGCCAAAAGCAATCTACAGATTCAATGCTATCCCCATTAAAATCCCAGCACAATTCTTCACAGACCTTGAAAGAACAATAATCAATTTTGTATGGAAAAACAAAAGACCCAGGATAGCCAAAACAACCCTGTTCAACAAGGCAACATCCGGAGGCATCACCATCCCTGACCTCAAGCTCTATTATAGAGCTGTAGTCCTGAAAACAGCTTGGTATTGGCACAAAAATAGACAGGTAGACCAATGGAATCGAATTGAAAATCCGGGTATTAACCCACACACGTACGAACATCTGATCTTTGACAAAGAAGCTAAAAATATACAATGGAATAAAGAAAGCATCTTCAACAAATGGTGCTGGCATAATTGGAGACTGGCATGTAGAAGAATGCGGATTGATCCATGTTTATCGCCATGCACAAAACTTAAGTCCAAATGGATCAAAGACCTCAACATAAATCCAGCCACACTGAACCTCATAGAAGAGAAAGTGGGTGGTACCCTTGAACGAATTGGTATAGGAGACAGCTTCCTGAACATAACACCAGTAGCACAGACAGTGAGATCAACAATTAATAAATGGGACCTACTGAAACTGAGAAGCTTCTGTAAGGCAAAGGACACAGTCAGCAAGACAAAAAGGCAGCCCACAGAATGGGAAAAAATATTCACTAATCCCACATCTGACAGAGGGTTGATCTCCAAAATTTACAAAGAACTCAAGAAGCAAGTCTCCAAAACAGCAAAGGACCCAATTAAAAAGTGGGCTGCAGAACTAAATAGAGAGTTTTCAATAGAGGAGTCTAAAATGGCTGAGAGGCACTTGAGAAAGTGCTCAACATCCTTAGCCATCCGGGAAATGCAAATCAAAACAACTCTGAGATACCATCTCACTCCTGTCAGAATGGCTAAAATCAAAAACACCAATGACAATTTATGCTGGAGAGGATGTGGTGAAAGGGGGACACTCCTCCATTGCTGGTGGGAGTGCCAACTGGTTCAGCCACTTTGGAAAGCAGTATGGAGATTCCTCAGAAAAATGGGAATAAACCTACCACAAGACCCAGCAACTCCACTCTTAGGCATATATCCAAAAGATGCCCATTCATACAACAAAGATGTCTGTTCCACTATGTTCATAGCAGCTTTATTTGTAATAGCCAGAACTTGGAAGCAACCTAGATGTCCCTCACCCGAAGAGTGGATAGAGAAAATGTGGTACATCTACACAATGGAGTACTATTCAGCAGAAAAAAATAATGGAATCATGAGATTCGCAGGCAAATGGATGACACTAGAAGAAACCATCCTCATTGAGGTAACCCAGTCACAAAAAGAGAAACATGCATGTACTCTCTCATATATGGATTTTAGACATAGATCTGGGGAGTGCCAGCCTACAATCCTATGGCCAGACAGTCTGGGAAACAGAAACTACATTTAGTGGCTGGTTAAGTACTGAGCTGAACTCAAGAAAGCCAGTATCAGAGAGGGAGGACTGATGATCAAAGGGATTAAGACTGGGCTGGTTTAACCCCCAGAAACAGCTGACCAGACAAAGGTTAACTCTTGAATCCCAGGCATCAGCCTGGGAATCCAGCATGGGACTGATCAAGACCCCCCTGAATCTGGGTGTCAGTGAGGAGGCCTAGGGAATCTATTGAGCCTTGGGCAGCAGATCAGTACCCATCCCAAGTATACACACGGACTCTGGACTCCCATAGAACAATGTGAGATGCACTCTCACCCTGAACTCTTGGGGAAGGGTCTAGGCCCTGCCCTATATGAAATGACAGACTATGGACACCCCCATGGAGGGCCTCACCCTCCCTGGGGGAACGAGGGGATAATGGGGGGGATGGGGGGAGGGCACGGGAGGAGGGGAGGGAAAGGGAGAGGGACCTGGAACTGACTTGTGAAGCAACCTTGTTTCTTATCTAAATTTAAAAAAAAAAGAATTAAAAAAAAAGGTTTTTGTCTACTTCATGTACATGATTTCTGGTTTGAGTCATGATCAGTTTTCTACAGTGAACCATGGCCATGACTAACCGTGACCTTCGAAGTCTCCAAAAGGAGGATGGGGCCCCACAATAACAATTTCACCAAGACTATCACAGCACCATTATGCTGAACAATACCAGCTAAAGATCAGCTTTGGACTAAAAATTGCTCAAAACAATTTCGAGGTGGCTTGCTGAGGTGACCCAGCCTCACAGACACACTGCACTGCTTGGAACAATTTCAGGGTGACTTGCTGAGGTGACCCAGCCTCACAGACTTCTTTAGCCAGGAGGTGGTACAAGCCCTGTACTTTCCCATTAGGCAAAGACTGCACAACAAATGATACAGCTTGACAATTAATCAACATTTTCTTTTCAGGAACCCCTAAAGATGTTGTCACCCCCAGACAGCAGGAAGTAACTTTAAGAACATGATGTCCACATTCCCAAGAGGTGGGGTGGGTGGTTTTGGTCACTCATTGACTTATGAATGTTTGCCATTGTTTAGGGGGATTGGTTACACAATGTTGTTGCTTATGGTCAGGAAGAAAGTTGAACAAAGGGGATTCGATTCAAGTTTTTTTTCTGTAAAAACAAAGAGGAATTCAGATATGCTAGGATAAAAATATAGATTACTAGATCTACTTTGAAAAGACTAAAGGGGGAGAACATAGATATGTTGAGATGAAAAGGTAGATTATTGAATCTACTCTTAAAAAAGCAACTACTAGTTTTAAATATTTTACATTGGATTGGACTTCTGTAAATTGTATTACAAATGTTGTATATTGATAAAAGTTTGGGAGTAATTTTGATAAAATATTCATACGTTTCTTTTTTTCCTCAATATATGTTTTTATTTAAATTAGAAACATGAATGCTTCACATGTCAATCCCAGGTCCCTCTCCCACTCCTCCTCCCTTGTCCTTCCACCAGTTCCCCTCAGCCCCCCACCCAATCCCCACATCATTCCCCAGGGAGGGTGGGGCCCTCCTTGGGGGGATCTCTAAAGTCTGTCATTTCATCTAGGACAGGACCTAGGCCCTTCCCCATGTGTCCAGTCTGAGAGAGCATCCCTCTTTTTGGAATGGGCTCCCAAAGTTAATTTGTATGCCATAGTGAACACTGATCTACTATCCAAAGTCCCAGAGATTTCTGAGGCCTCCTCACTGACACTACATTCATGGAGACTGGATCAGTCCCCTGCTGGCCTCTCAGCCATCAGTCTGGGGTCCAAGAGCTCCCCCTTATCTGGTCAGCTGTCTTTGTGGGTTTCATCATCATGGTCTTGACCCCTTTGCTCATCGCTCCTCCATCTCTGTCACTGGGTTCCAGGAGTTCAGTTTAGTATTTAGCTCTGGGTATCTGTCTCTGCTCTCATCAGTCACTGGATGAAGGTTCTAGGATGGCATATAAGGAAGTCATCAACCTTATCATCTAGGAGGTGTTATTAATGTAGTCTCTCCACTATTGCTTAGTTTGCCAGTTGGTGTTATCCTTGTAGATCTCTGGAGATCTCACTAGTGTCAGCTCTCTCCTCAAGCCTATAATGACTCCATCTATTATGGTATCTCTCACTCTGCTCTCCTCTGTTCTTACCTCGACTCAACCTTCCTGCTCCCCCATGCCATCTTCTCCCCTCCTCTTGTCCCCATCTCTTTTTCCTGGTTCCCTCTCCCCTCCCCTGATGTTCCCAATCTACTCAGGAGATCTTGCCTCTTTCCACTTCTCTGGGGTATCATGCATCTATCTTGGGAACCTCCTTGTTTCCTAGACTCACTGGCGCTGGGATTGCTAAAATATACATATGTTTCTAATATTCAAAGTATTGTATCTATATACTTTACTTAACAATGTAATACAAATTTCTAGTTCTTGAAAGTTATTATTATCAACTATGTAGGACAATAAGGAAATGTAGTTTAGTAACTAGTCAACTATAACAATCAAACTTTTATTCACTTTAGGTATATTTACAAGATCAAACTGATATTTTAGAAAGACAGGTGATCATCAAACCCTTTAGAGACCTACAGAGTATGGCATTCAACATGTTTCAATAACATAGGTTCTTTTTTTAATGACAATGAGATATGTTTACTCCTGGCAGGACCAATCTACATCAGAGAAGATGGTGGTCATTGAAGAAAGTCCACATCGAGTTTAACTTCTTTGTGGCAAAGGTAAGCCACTTGTCTCAACTGCTGACAGTATGCTGTCCAAATTGCACAAGCAGGACCCAAGAGTTCCTGCAAAACCTTGCCAAGACAAGGCGGTCCAGTCCTTCATGTTATCCTGGTTCACAGAAATGCCCGTCAGATACGCTAGGTCTATAGGCTGATGATAATGGATGTCCCAATGCTGCAGAGCAATCTTGGGTGACCGTCCAGACAGCCAGTTGTTTCTGCCATTTCTCACATTTTTTTTGGAAGTCGCTTGCTTGCTTCTTGTTTACTCAGTTAATATTATTTCTTTCTTGGGACTCTGAGGGAGTGGAAGACTAAATGGAACAGTTATAGTTTTTCTTGTTTACCAGATTTGGTAAAGAAACTCACTATAGATGTGTTAAGTGTAGTAGGTTTAAAAGACATTACAAGATAATTTGATAATGCAAATTAGAATAGAAAGCAAATTTGGACTTATCAAGAAAGAATAAATAATGGAGTAAATTCTTTGATTTGTCATATTGACTAGTCATTGCTAATGTACTTATTGCCATGTATATGTTATATATAGTTTTTGCACTTATTTCATATAGTTTTTTATATTAGTTATAATCTTTTTATGAAAATTTTAGACAAAAAGGGGATATATGATGATATTTTACTTGAACAAATAAAGCCTGTCTGAGTGTCAGAGAGTGGACCTTGCCACTAGTTAACCATAGAGATCTGGTGGTCTGTACAGACAGACAGGAAATTAAGTAGCTGGACAGAAACAGGATATAAGCAGGGAGAAACAGGAAATAGCTCCCTTGTCTATTGAGACACTAAGGAGGTAAGGTGTGCTGTGTCTTGCTCCTTCTCTCTGATCTCTCAGCATTTCTCTGTATATCTGACTCTGGCTCTCTATTTTGTAGACCAATTAAGAACTCCATTTACAAGAACTCTTAGGTCTTTCTTCAGCATCAGGCACACATGCTTCCTGCCATGACAATAATGGACCGAACCAACTGTAAGCCAGTCCCAATTAAAAGTTTTCCTTTGTAAGAGTCGCTGTGGTCATGGTGTCTCTTCACAGCTGAAGGACTCTAACTAAGACAATTATAGCGATGATCCAACAGGTCCCATGAATTAATTTCTGACAGTTACTACTCACTTATTCTACAAGATGCATGAAACATGTGCTGTGATCATACACAGTATTCTAGAAGATTATAATTCAGGGGCAGAGAAAGAAGAAATAATTCCTTTCCATCCAAGAGCTAAGATTTGGTGGGCAGACAGATAATAACCAAATGGAAATTATCAAATTTTAGAGAGGGCATTTGAAGCAGGGAACAGTTGGTGCAAAGGCCCAGGGGGTTGGAGGTAAGAGTTTACTGAGCTCAGTTTAACAACAAGGAATCCAGGCAGTGATGGCATATGCTTTAATTCCAGCACTTGGGAGGCAGAAGCAGACAGGTCCCTGAGTTTGAGACTAGTCTGGTCTATAGAATGAGTTTCAGGGCTATACAGAGAAACCCTGTCTCAAAACAAAACAAAACAAAACAAAATTGTATACTGACCTTTTGAAACTAGGTCACCTTGTGTGTACATGATACAATATATACCTTATGTGTTACTCATTTGCCAGAAAATCTTCTAAAGGGATTTGAGTCCCCCTTAGCCTAGCTACTTTGTCATCAGAAGCAAATGATAAGAACAGATTCTGTGTATAGTGTGTTTTTCTTAATAAAGTTTTATATCTACCTTTTATGCCTTCTATTGCCTCCTTAGATTGACTTCCCATCAGTACAATAACAAATTGCCACGAATGCCATGATACAAGACAGCATACATGTATTATCTCCCAGCTCTGTATGGAGTCTGCCAAAGGCTCTCCTTGGGCTGGCGGCACCAGGTTCCTTTCTGAAAGCTGCAGTCTGGCAGACAAGGTCACCTGCATGGCCTAATTCCCAGAACTTTTCTCCCATGTTCAATACCAACAATGCTATGAGTCTGTGGCTTTCCTCATCATTACCCTCATTTAGCCACAGCCAGAAGAGGCTCTTCAGTTTTGAGTATTTCAGAGAGTATTTTGCTGGGTCTGCTGGGAAAATCTAGGTGACTTCTCTCTCGCGTGCTATTGGTACCCAAAGGAACATTTTCAAAGTCTCTTTGCCATGTAAGATGGCATGGTCACTGTTTACAGGGATGATGACATAGCTGTTTTAAGACCATTATTTTGCCTATATGCCTTTCTCTAAAAACTGGGATGAAATAAAATTGGATGCTTATAAATTTTGTGCAGGAATCTTCCTGTTTCTAGTTTCAATATCTATGCATGTCTCTGTAAATAAGGGAAAAAGTCATTTTACACTTTAAATAAAGTGAAGAAAATTTAATTTGACTATGAGACCTTCCCTCTCCATGGCCACCAGTTCTCCCTCCCTCCTTTCTGGTTCCCCTCTTAGATAAAGTCATGTGACCAGCCGGGCGCAGCCTACCCAGCTTTCCTTCTGCTGACAAAACAAAGTAAATGTTCTTCATGCTTTCATCGCAGTCTAGTAGAACTGACATTCAGACCTCCTTGTCCCAGGTTGGTAGAGGAGACCCATCCAGTTGGGTCATCATATTCCCAGGAATTGTGAGCAGTCCCCTGCTATGCCTTCAGCCCCAACTGGGCTAATCAGGATTCTTCCCGGAGGAGTTTTCTTTTTTATATGTGTCTCATTGGGGGACATTCTATCCCCCATCTACTCCTCTCCTCCCTGAGGAAGTTGGAAACTTGTGAATCACAGTTGTCAGTCTCCACACCTTACCACTTAGACTGAGGTGGCAGAGAGCCTGGAAACAGTGTCCTTGTGAGTCACCTGGCTGGTGTCAGGGAGGACTTGGATCCTGTCTACTCTACAGTCATACAAATTTCTTTCCAATAAATTTCTTTTCCCCTTAACCAGTTTGTTTTAAGAATTGTTTCTTCACCTTTAATCCCAGCGCTTGGGAGGCAGAGGCTGGTGGATCTCTGAGTTCAAGGCCAGCCTGGTCTACAGAGCAAGTTTCAGGACAGACAGGGATACACAGAGAAAGGCTGTTTTGAAAAAAAAAGTTTCTTTCAACTAAAACAGTTTCAACTCATACCTATTGTTTCCTTCTCCTAATCTTTCCCTTTGTTAGGTTCCTTACTGATTGTGCTAATTCATTGAATTTTAAAGGCTATATCTACAATCAGAGCTATCTCTCAAGGGAAGAAAGACTAAGAAATCGGCTTTTCTGATATTGCGTATGTTAATTCGTGGTAGTACTCTGGAAAATTTTATTTTACATTTTACTGTTCATTTGGATTATACAGCTCAGCTAATTAGAGAAGTTTATGGACAGATTCTGACAATCCTGTTAGTACAATGACAGAAAGATGAAAGCTTGAAATCTGAATACTTCATTTATTTCTATTACCAAATTTCCAAAGTGTAAGTAAAACCCTTAAAATGAAACATCCTCATTCCTTCTTATTTTGCTTCTGGAACTAATGTATTCTCAACAAAATCTTCAAAGCCAAATTATTCTAAACCCAGATCACTCAGTACATACCAATTTCCAAAGTTCAGTAGGTTGTGGAAGAACATTCTGGCACATCTCCACCTGGAATATTCTGACTCAAGCTCATACACAAAGTGGCAAATTTTGCTGTATAATCTGTCTGCTCATGAACATAGCTCTGAAACCCAGGGAACTATTGCTTATACTTTCCTGACCTATGAACAGAGGCCTAACATGTACTTCCAGTGACAGAAAAGTGCACCTCTTTTTGCAATTAAAAGACTGGCTTCATGACATCTAAGGCCAGCCACTCGGCTTCTTTTAAGAGGCAGATCTCTGTGAGTTTGAGACCAGCCTGGTTGACAAGAGCTAGTTCCAGGATAGGCTCCAAAGCTCCACAGGGGAAACCCTGTCTTGCTCTATATTTGTGAAGTCATCAGAACGGAGCTTCCTCTATAGCTGGGAATACTACATCACAAGGCAAATCCAGCCCGGTGCTCAGGAATGGGCAGCAGCTCATGTGCCACAGAAGTAAACTGAGGCTCGAGCTAAGCTTTCCTGGATGGGACTCACATTCCATGTTTTATTCAGAGAATCAGAGCTGGACCCTTCCAGTCCCCGTGACAAGTCTGTAGTGCATCTCAGCACAGGCATCCAGTTCTGGGATTGCTATCAGCTTTAAATTTCTTCCCTGTCACTGTGATAAAGTCCCCTGACAAAATCAACTCACGGGAGAAAGTTTTAGCTCATGGTTCCATTGGTGTGCAGTCTACCGTGGAAGGGAAGACATGGCAGCAAGCAGGGATGGCTTGATGGCAGGAGAAGGAAGCTTGCCGGTCTCATCACATCTGCAGAGAGTGACTAAGAAGACGGGGTGGGCTGTAAACCCTTGAGGTTCATTCCCAGTGACCCATTTCCTGCAGCAAGATTCCAAATCCTAAATATTCCAAATCCTAAATATTCCACAGCCTTCTGTACCAGATAGGGACAGAGTGTTCGAAATCCACACTACAACACTCCCAGTGTGTTGACTGAGGATAAGTTGGGCACTTGACATATAAAGGTAGAAAGAAAAAGACCTGACTTTTGCTTTTGTGATATTATTAATTGGTGATATAAGGCATTATGACCAAGGCTACTTGCAGATTAGTTTATTGGGGCTTATCGTTTCAGAGGGTGAGTCCGTGAATGGCTGGGAGCACAGCTGCACACAGACGTGGTGCCAGAGCAGTAACTGAGAATTTACATCTTGATCCACAATCAGGAAGCAGAAAGAGAGAGACTGGCAATGACGTGGGCTTTTAAAACCTCAAAGCCTGCCCCCAGTGACTTGCCTGCTTCAACAAGGCTGTACCTTCCAACACTTGGAGGACAGTTTCACCCGAAAGAGGTAAGCTAAACTCAAAGACCTCAATTCCAATAAATCACACTGGGGGGAAATTGTATGAATATGTCAAAGTCTAAAGTTCCCATTCAACTCTTTTTTTTTTTTTTTTTTTTTTTTTTGGTTTTACGAGACAGGGTTTCTCTGTTTTGGAGGCTGTCGGTCCAGCCTGGCCTCGAACTCACAGAGATCCGCCTGCCTCTGCCTCCCGAGTGCTGGGATTAAAGGCGTGCGCCATATCAACTCTTATTATTCATACAGTAAAGAAACCGTATCAATGCAAACATTGTGAAAAAGCCTTCAGAACAAACCCAGTCCACCCTAGCCTCTAGTTTTTGTGTTGTGAACAAAATTCTAAGACTAAGGGGACTAAGACCTTCCCCTTAGTACCTGGAAACTATGTTTGACAACAGACCATCTCCAAGAGACCGACAAAGCAGTAGGAACCACAGAATGCTCCCTCCCAGCACCAACCAATGAGAACAGGCTACCTGCAAGTAACAGACAAAGCCATAGAAACCACCAATGCCCCTATCTGCAGCCAATCAATCAAAAATGCTGACAAACCAGTTGCCCCGACTCTGGGCAAGTTCCCTAATCGTTCCCCAAACGTCAACCAATCAGGATCCGACCCACGCCACTCCCTACCTATGGATATAATCCTGTGATTTTTTTTTTCCTCCCCTTAAGAACCCTGCAGTAGACTAGATGGACACTCCCTTTGGAGGTTGCTGCACCCGCCTGCTAGACTGAGTCCCTATTGGTGGGATTAAACAATAAAGCCTCGCATTTCCAGTTTGGTGAGTCTGTCTCCTTGGTGGTCTCCAGGGGTCTTCGAGACTCGGGCACAGCACCACCCACTGGGGGCCAGGTATTCAAACTCACGAGCTCACGAGCTCATGGAGGCCATTCTCGTTCACACCACCGGAGCTCCCTGTGAGTTCACAGTCCAGTGGGGGACAGAAACCACGTGGATGACAGCGCTGTCAGGGGAAATCCTAACTGCAGGTGAGGCAGCACGAGTCTGAGCGGTGGGAAACGGAGGCAGGGAGATAGATGTGAGACATGTGTCGGAAATCAAAAGAAGCCCAAAGAGATGGACAAATTATCCTAAGTGCCACAAAGCGGAAGGGCAGACTGGAAGGGTGAGGACACTGGGAGGGCTATTTTTTTTTTTTTTTGTTTTGTTTTTGTTTTTCGAGACAGGGTTTCTCTGTACTGTTTTGGAGGCTGTCCTGGAACTAGCTCTGTAGACCAGGCTGGTCTCGAACTCACAGAGATCCGCCTGCCTCTGCCTCCCAGTGCTGGGATTAAAGGCGTGAACCACCAACGCCCGGCTGGGAGGGCTATGTTTAAAGTTGGATCGGTAGCTTAATAAGAACTCTAGAGCAGTGGTTCTCAGCCTTCCTAACACCGTGACCCTTCAATATAGTTCGTCATGTGACCCCCAACTGTAAAGTTATTTTCATTGCTACTTCATAACCATAACTTTGTTGCTTATAAGTCATAATGTAAATGCTTGTGTTTTCTGATTTTTTTGGAGGGGGTTGCTGCTCTATACCTTTGATCTGGTCTGAATTGGAAGGAAGAAGAGGTCAAGTGAGACCTAAGGAAGAGATGCAGGTAATCAGAGGAACATACCAGGCAAGGAGAAGGCAGAGGATCTCCACTGCAGCAAATTAGCCACAGTTCTTAAAGAAACACACACTGCGTCTGGATGCTGGAGAGAGATGCAGAGAGTAGCCTGGATGCTGCAGAGAGATGCAGGGAGGAGCAGGAGTGTAGGATGCTTGTAGGCAAGGGAGGGTGAAGGCATTATATAAACCTTAGTTTGCCTTTAAACCAGGCTGAAACTGGCTGTCATTCATACTTTAAAGAGATGAGACGTGTTCCTGTTCAGAGAATGACTAAGGTGGGCCTAGTCAAAACAGGAAGACTACCACAGGAGAAACATTGCAGCCGGGGCAATGTAGACACAGAGAATCAATGGATCTGAGCTAGGTATTAGCTGCAGATTTTACTGGTAGGCTCTGTATAGGAAATGATGTACTGCTTTGAGTGGCTGCATGGGTAGCGCTGGTGTTTAGTAATGCAGAAAAGACTTTTTTGTTTGTTTTGTTTTTCAAGACAGGGTTTTTCTTGTGTAATAGCTCTGGCTTTGCAGACCAAGCTGATCTTGAGCTCACAGAGATCCACCTGCTTCTGCTTTCCTAGTTCTGGGATTAAAGGCATGTCCCACGATGGCACAGCCAGAAATGACCTTTGAAAGGAGAAAATTTCCCAAGATTTGGGAATGGTAGGTTTCAAATTCCTAGAGCCACCTCGTTGAGACTTCTGTTAAACACCAGAGTGTACACGTCTGGAGTTCAGAGCCAAGGTTTGGGTGTAAGATTTAAACAAACTAGCAGACAAACAAACAAATGACCATAAAATACCACCAGCAATGCTAACTTAAATCCAACATACAGCTGTTACAATGATCCAAACCAGGACATTGCCATTAATAAGGACCAATTAGTCTGTAGACTTTACTCATGCCTTGTAATTGGCTTTTTTTACTTGTTTTCCCAGAATCAGAATCTAAGACTATGCATTGCATTTAATTGTCACATGTCCTTCTCAGTCTCCCTTGACTTGAAATAACTCTTCTGTCTTTTGTGATCACGACACTGTAGAAGTGTGGTGGGCATTTGTACTGCACAATGGTCTTTAGTTTGGGGCTTGCCTGGATGTTTTTCTGTGCCTAAGTTAAAAGCACATTTCTGCTAAGCAAGACGCTTCAGAGTCCAAGCGAGAGGGTGAGGCGTTTGTGCTGTGGAAGAGTAGGAGGGTGTGATGTGCAGCTTCTATCACTTGCCAGAGAGGAAGCTGCCTGCCTTGGATGGGCTCCATTTCCGGCTCCTCCTCCGTGTTAGCTGTGTTAGAGGCATGACGGTGGCCCAGACTGGAGCTTACAGATGAGGACTGAAAGGGGTAAACTAAACTCAAGGGCTTCACTTCTAACAATTTAGAAATAAAGGGACCAGACCCTCACTCAGACCCTGCTTTAGCAGCCATGACAGGCTATAGAAAAGACACGTAGGCCTCTGACACAAGGAAACTCCAGATCCTCTGGCCTCCTGGAGTCTAGAGCCAAAACTGAACACAAAGAAACTCCAGAAACCATTCCCCCCAGCCTCCTGGATGCTTGGTCCCTGGGAACTGCTTGGCCACAAAAGAAACTCCAGGGGGGACCAAAACCTCCCCTGTAGTCTCCAGGATACAGTTCTGAAAACTGTTGGTATCTATGTACAACAGGCCACCTGCAAGTAACAAGACAATGCCATAGAAACCACAGAATGTTCCCTGTCAGCACTGACCAATGAGAATAATTGGTACACAGGTATTTCATGCCAAAATATGACTTTGAGAAATGCTCCTAATTGCTCCCAAATGTCAACCAATCAGAAACCAAGCTGTACCTACTGATGTAATTCTGTGACTTTTGTCTTTAAAACCTAGCATTAGACAGGGGACTTCACTCCCTCGGGGGCTGCTGTGTCAGCTTGCCAGACGGGGTCCCTGTCATGGGTGGATGTGCAATCATTAAACCTTGCTTTTGCAGATTAGTGGGTCTGTCTCCCTGGTGGCATCTGGGGACTTAGCAACTTGGGCACAGCAAGGACAAGACTCTTGAGGTCCTGGAGCAAAGCCGGGCCTTTGAATGACCTCATGGAACATGGCCTCACTGACCCAGACTGCTTACTTATCTTTTTTAGGGGGGAGAATAAGATCTTATCTTATTAAAGTCACTATTTTAGATATTTGTTTTTTTTATAGCAGCATAGATTCTGCTGTAACTAGTGTTGAAGGGACACTAGCCCCACTCAAGCTTGTAGCTGGGGCAGGCCTTGCCCTTCTCCCCATTCCCTCTAATCCCCAAGGTCTATTACCTTATTTGGCCACTTCCTCCTCCTGAGGCTGGGTGCCAAGGTCCAGCATTCAGAAGCCCCCTTTGGTTCATCTAATGAGCACGCCCAATTAAAATTAAACACCTCATCCTAACACGGATTTCCGCCTTCACCTTTATAAACTGCCGTTTGCCCATGTGCGGAGTCTGTCTCCTCTCTATCCCTGTCCCCTTCTCCTTCTCCCTCACCCACTATCTCCTTTATCCCACATCCTAGCCCACTCTGACACAGCGTCCCCTTTCTCCTCTTAAGAATGACACCTGCAAGGTCATTTGCTGCCTGAGTCAGAAAGCAGCCGCTTTAACTTTTCTTCCCTACTTAATAAAGGATCTCGGTGAAAACAGGTGTTTGGGTGTGGTTTGTGCCTAATCCAGGCTCTGGAGGGAGCTCCTGCTGTGCCGGGTCCCCTTAAGGTGTAACGAATGAAGGAGGGCTTCCTGTGCCTAACCATTCTTGGCTACTGAATGAGTTAGGTGCAGAGGATCCGTGGTGGGACTGCTGGAGGGTTGGGAGGCTAGGAATACAGAAACAGCTGAGCATAGCAGATTTCCTTTTCGGGGCAGTCCTGTACTAGGATTGGGGATAATGTTGGGCGTTCCTCGAATTTTTGTCTTGACTGTTACATGGCAGCGACTATTTTAATTCTGAGATTAGAATCCTCATTTTAAGATGATGAAGAAATGATTAGTTTGTGGTAAAAGTTGCCCAAATGGCAGGAAGGAATCAGACTAATAACATTTCAATGGGTTAGAGGAGCTACAATAATTTTTAAAAATTATGCTTTATTCATTTTAAAAAATGTCGTGGTTACATATAAATTTGAAAACAAGATGATTGAAAAGTAATAAAGTAAATATTCAATTAAAATAAAAATAATAAAGCAACCTAAAATATTAAAAAAATTATGAAAACTGAAGAAGGGAATGTAAATCAAAGAAAGATTAACTAAACCAAGAGTTAACTACTCCCAAGATTAGAACAGATAAAAGGCAGAGAGAAGCCACAAATAAATAACGGTAGAAATTGAAGAGTAGGGGTAACTGCATGTCAGATAGAATATAAAAGAGATGAATACCACAGATTTGTTTTAGTGAGTTAGGAATACATTTCAGAAAATGTAATTCACCAACAACAATTCAGAAGATGTATAAGATGCAAAAATTCAGAACAAGCTTTCAAACATCAGCAGGTGACGATAGTCCCTGTCTCTTAATTCCTCACACACAGACTTTATGGGGGCCTTTAAGGGAAAAATAACTCTACTTATAAAACATGCCCGAATAACAACAAAAGAAGTTGCACTTCTGAGGTGTTTTTCTAAGTTCAGGATCTCAGATATGTGAAACCATGATTATAAGAAAGGAAACCTGAAGGCTGCTCTCATTTATGAACATGCTTTTGAAGATTCTAAATATACTACTGTCAAATGAAATCTCAACTGAATGAAAAATGTGATGCCTCAGGTGAGCAAGAGTCATCACCTGGGGATGACTTGCTGACCCGAATTCTGCAATGTGACAGATTCACATAACAGAATGCAACACAGGCCCCTGTGTCTGGCTCTGCTACTATCAAGAGATGACCACATGGGCACTGACTCGAAAGAGCAAAAATCTAAACGAGGTATCGTCAGGCACAGATCGAAGCACTGGCAGAGGCCGGAAGGGGCGGGGCAGAATTCGCTACTTCTCTCTTGTGCCTTCTTTCTGGCTCTGACCTTTGTGTCCCTTCCGTTAGGAAGCATGCCATTTGATTGGCTCAACTAGATAATTCATACTACTCTTTGCACTTGGAAATTGTCAGTAACACCTGGAACTCCCTTTGCCACCTAAGACACATGCACGGACTCTTGAGATTAGGATACAGCCGTCTTTGGGAGCTGTTGTTTAGCTCCCGGTACTTTAAACAGTAGTGACTGGTGAGACTGCCCTGCAGGTAAAGCCTCTTGCAGCCAACCCTGGCAACATGAGTTTGATTGCCAGGAATCCCGGTACAGGAGAGAATTGACACCGATTCCCTCATGTCCTCTCACATCCCGACCCCACAGTAATACAATTTTAGTAAAAATGAAAACCAGTCTGCTAAGACTTAACCTAAAAACTCGACAGTAAAAGTTAGAGGTTGGAGCTGGGCGTTGGTGGCGCACGCCTTTAATCCCAGCACTCAGGAGGCAGAGGCAGGAGGATCTCTGTGAGTTCGAGCCAGCCTGGTCTACTGAGCGAGTTCCAGGGCAGGCTCCAAAACAATACAGAGAACCTCTGTCTCAAAAAACAAAACAAAACAAACAAAACAAAACAACAAAAAAAGTTAGAGGTCGGAATAGGAAGACCCTTAGTGTGATGACTAAGAATGTGTTGTTTGGAAGTCGGTAACCGTTTAAGGACTCCGTTGTTACTGTTCCTGCTTCATTTTGGTCTGGAGAACTAATCCAGTGCAGTAGATAAGATGGATAAATAATTGGGATACAGCTAAAATAAAACAAAAATATTTTTAGACAAGCACTTGTCTATTTAGAAGTTGTAAGATATAAAAACAAATGTTAAACTAACATGGAAAATCAGAAAAGACCCTAGATAAAAGTGAATTTACTAACATTAACATGATATTTACAAGTAAATAGAAAAAGCAAAATATAATTTAAAATTTTAATTTGACCCCTACTCACGTCCTGTCAGATTGCAACTCCAGGAAGATGACAATGTTTAGAGCAAAGCTGTAAAACTTTTAGAAGGCAATATGAGAGGCTAACTTCATGCTCCGGAGTAGCATGGATTTTAGATTTACCCCCTTTAAAATGAATGACTTTTCTTCTAAGAGCCATATAAAAGGAGTAACTAAGCAAGTGACAGATGTAACCTAAACTGGATTAATATTCAAAATATGCAATGAAATCTTACAAATCAACGAAAAATAGACACCCAATAGTAAATGGTTGAAAAGTAGGAACAGGCATCTCACAAAAGAGATCAAACAAATAACAGACACACAAACATGTAGAAAACCTCGTTCTATTTGTATCAGTGTAATATGAATTGAAACTGTAATGGGGAACTGAAGAAATGGCCGGGTCCCTAGAGTGCTTATTGTGCACGTATAAAGACTGGAGTTTCATATTCAGAACAGTGAAAAGCCGGGCATGTTAGTGTGTGCTTCTAATCACAGCTCTGAGGAGGTCCTGAGGAGCGGATCCCTGGGGCTACCTAGCCAACTGCTCTAGTCCAGTCAGTGAACTTCAAGTTTGGTGAGAGACAGACCTTGCCTCAAAAATCAGGAGAATCGTTTTGAGGAACATTCACCAAGGTTCCATCTCTGCCAGCCACACACTTAAACTCACATTTGCATGTGCACACATGTTTAAACAGTTCAGCACACAGAGGCAAACAATAAATCCAGTGTTGCAAGGTGTAAAGTTATCTACCGACAACGAATCGTCTGAAGAGGAAATGTAAAGTTCTTCTTCATAACTACAAAAAGTTTTGTAGGAATTTAACCTACAAGCTCAAAGGTATGTAAACTGAAAACCATCTGCCATATTAAAGAAATTGGAAGCAAAAATGGGATGCTGGCCAGAATATTCATGGAGTGAACAAACTAACATTGATAAAATTGCTCATAGTCACCCCTAGACAATGCAATTTCCATCAACATTCTAATGGCATTTTTCAAAGGAATAAAAAACAATTCTAAGATTCCTATAGACCCACAGATGACTTTGAGTAACCAAAGAAAATTGGAGACAACTGAACAAAGGCAGTGGCATCCCAGTACTTGAGCTAAAACCCTTACCTCATACTGTCTGCAAACAAAACTAACCCAAAATGGATTAAAGACTTAGAGATAAGACATGAAGCTGCCAATTACTGGAAAGATCCATAGAGAAAACTCTATTACATTTTTCTACCACATGGATCTATTAACTTGGTCTGTGATAGCAGTCTGGCAATACATTTTTTTGGTATAGCACCAAAGAACAAGGAACATCAATAAAAATTAAACAAACAGGATTACACCACATTAAAAACCTTCTGCATAGTGAAGGAAACCATGGGAAGAATGAGGAAGCAACATATGGACTGGGAGGTCACATACCCAATAAGGAGTTAATACGCAAAATAATGAACTCAACTAAGTAGGACAATGAATAACCCAGTTTCAAAATGGGAGAATACCTGTATAGCCATTCACCAAGAAAAATAGCCCAGTGGCCAACAGGTATGCGAAAAAACATTAACACCCCTAATCATTCTGGAAATGCACATTAAAAGTACAGAGATCATTTTGTAGCTGTTAGGGTAGCTGTTATTAAAAAAGACAGAAGACAACAAGTATCGCCAAGGATAAGGAGAAAACAGGTACCCTTCAAATTGTTGGTTGCCCTGCAAATTAGTACAGCCTGTAAGGAGAACAGTATGGAATTTCTTCAAAAGAAATAAAAGAGAAAAGTATCATATGGTTTTACAAACTCACCACTGGACAGTATTCAAGAGGAAGGGGGTCAGCGTGCTGAAGAGACACCTGCTTCCTTTCCATTGCAGCATTTTGTCACAAGAGTTGACACACTGGGTCAACTAACATGGATGACTGAACAGAGAAAATGAACACACACTTAAGTCAACTTTCTTTGTGTAACCCTGGTTGTCTTAGAATTAGTTCTGTAGAACAGGCTGGCCTTGAACTCACAGAGATCCGCCTGCCTCTGCCTCCAAGTGCCGGGATTAAAGGCGTGCACCACCAACGCCCAATAAGTCAACTTTCAAAAGAGGGAAAGGTAGCCACCCAGGACCACACAGACAGGATGGAGACATGCTGTTGTTATTCTCTGTGAAACCCATAGGGCTAGCAAGATAAATGCTGCATGCTCTTACACGTGGACTCCTACATCATCAACCCCTGCCAACAAAACAATAACAGCAACAACAAACCCAGCAGGAGCAGAATGGTGGTAAACTGTCACACACTTGACATCTGGTAAGAGAGCGAATTGTGTTTTCACCACAATGCACCTGTGTAGACCGCAAATGAATAACTTTTTCTTGTCCAAAAAAAAAAAAAAAGACAGTATATTATCAAAATGTAGCTGGCACTGAGTGTTCTCAGCAGCCCGGAGTAAGAGAGCGCTCAGTCAGGAAGCGGTCTAGTGCAATTTGGTATATCACACTAGAAAATCGTTTTGAGCCTGAGTAGAGGGCACTGTGATTCAGCATTTCCTCCGTGGGGAAAGGGGGAGGGAGGGAGAAGATCTAAAAGGATACACGAGTTTTCGCTCAGTCCTACTTCTCAAGGGAAGGAAGTGGATGGTGGTGTAAATTACTGTTTTAAACTTTGATGTTTTGTGGATCTCTGGGTAAGATATTTCTTCCTTTTTCACACCAACACCCACTCTCTCGAAACTCCATTCAGGTTAGCAATAAAAACTAACAGTTATTTAGGAACCATCTATAAGGCATGCATGCATAGCTTTTGTAGAAAGGATTCAGAGACTTTCTGGAAGGGTAACTAGGGAGAAAAAAGTCTGCCCAACCCTAGCACTGGAATTCAACATGGGAAGGCAGAGCGATGACAGCTCTATTCTCATTATTTTATAACTTAATGCAATGCTTTCTCTTTTTTGTTTCCTTGTGACATTTTCGTACCTACTAGCTCCCCTCTATACTCCAGCTTCTCCGTATCTCTCTGCCCCCAATCTGCAGTTTAAACCCTCCCGCCCACCGTATTCTTACCTCCTGTGTTCTCCTGTCCTCCATACTCAATGGCTCTCCCCGAAAGCCTCTTTACCCTCTCGTGGCTCTGGTTCTAGTTTGCCCCGTCCTGTCTTTGGCAGATACTGATAGGCCTGGCATAAATTCTGTGGACATGTAAACAGCCCATATTAGCCAAGGTAGATCTGAGGCATTAAGAATGAGGAGGAAACTTATCCAGCACCTTATGGAACAGCTACTTCCTGTAGCAGATGCAATCCTGCAGAGGGGTCCCTAAGTTGCCTAGTAAGAATCGCCCGAGGTGCCTGTCTGCAGGGTCCTTTGTCACATCCAGGCCAGGTGAATCAGGTTCTCCAAAAGGGGCTCTGGGGTACATATTTCCAACAAGATGTCCACTTGACTCTTTTTTTTTTGTAAGATTGTAGACTAGCCAACGCTTCCTTAAAGCAGAATCACTAACAAGGGGAAAAGACAGTTTAGTAAAGGATTAAACAAAACTATAAAATGAAAATGATCAGCTAGGAGAACATACTTTCCATAGAAATTATTTGCACCAGGATTGTCTGCCTTAGTTACTAAACAACTCTTCAAGAAAATTCTGGCTGGGCGGTGGTGGCACACGCCTTTAATCCCAGCACTTGGGAGGCAGAGGCAGGTGGATTTCTGTGAGTTCGAGGCTGGGCTGGACCGACAGCCTCCAAAACAATACAGAGAAACCCTGTCTCGTAAAAACCAAAAAAAAAAAAAAAAAAAAAAAGAAAGAAAGAAAATTCTGACAAACGTACTTGACAGATTCAAGAGCACAAGGGCTGAGAAGGTGGCTCGGAGGTGTTAGCTGGGCAAACAAGGGTCCAGGCTTGGGTTGCCGGTACACACATACACAGCTGGACATAGCTAGTGCATTTGAAATCCTCGTGCTGCAAAGGCAGAAACAGAAGAGTCTCCGCAGCTTGCTGGCCAGCCGTCTAGCTGAAGGGGCAAGCTCTAATAAGGAGTCAAAAATACGATGGAGAGCAAATGAGAAAAACACTTAACACTGACCTTTGGCCTCTACACACATGCTTTTATGCCCACGTGCATATTTGTACCTCAGCACTGGCACACGTGCGTGCACACACACACACACACACACACACACACACACACACACACACGCCCTTAAAACAGCGATCTAAAGGAAGTTAATATTGAATTCTATTACTTGGTCTAGATATGTTTCTATTTTCTATACTTTTTTTTAAATGAAGGAGATGTAATGTCAGTTTTGAGTTTTGGGTCTGTGATTTCCATGTTTGCACGTGCTATAGTTGCGGGAGGAGCATGTTTCTGAGTATTAGAGTAATAGTAAAGGTTTGTGTTTCTTCTAAATTCTCACAGTCTCCACTTCTACTATTTGCTGAAAAGTGTCTTTGATTGTGATTTTCCAGTGGTACAAATAGCATATGAGTATATTCATTGCAATTATCCAAACAATTAAAAATTCTAGTACTGACTTTTATAATCTATATATCTAGTAAGAGCGTTTCCCCTAGATTATCTACACTGATTCTCAGTCTAGGAATTCTGTGACATTGCTCCATGTATTTTACAGGAAACCCTGAGCTTCTGCGCCTGAAAAGCAGCAGAACTGGAGTTTGAAGGTGTGTGTTTGATCTCGAAACCCATACATTCTCCAAGTGCCCCTGCAGTCGGCTTGCTGATATGTAGAGGGAAACCTTAATGTCCCCCTCCCTTCTCAACCCACAGGCATTCATAGTCATGTGAGTTGAAGTGTCTTCATCATGCCTGTAGTATGCACTGAAATGCACAGCTGTAGCTACACGTATGCTTCTATGAAACACAAATTGTTTTGCAACTTTTTTGCACACTGACTCTGAACTTGGAAGCATTTCTTACATTGTTATTTCCATCTATTATAGTTTTAAAAGACAGCTAAATGTTCTATAGTATGAGCCGGGCGGTGGTGGCGCACGCCTTTAATCCCAGCACTCGGGAGGCAGAGGCAGGCAGATCTCTGTGATTGAGGCAGGGCTGGACCAATAGCCTCCAAAACAATACAGAGAAACCCTGTCTCATAAAAACAAAAAAAAGTTCTATAGTATGTATGTAGTAAAACTTAAAATTTTTGTCATAGAATAGACAGACAGTTTTTGGTCTCTGTGACAGGCATCTGAGAGAAACTGTTGAATGATAAAAGGCTTATTTGGCACAATTTTTCATCCATGGCATGGCTCCATTGTTCCTGGGCCTTAGGTAAAGCCCCACATCATAGACGTATTGGAGCAGAACTACTTACTCAGAAGGAGAAGGACAAGAGGGGCCAGGACAAGACAAACCCTTCAAGGACATGCCATCTGTCACCTGTTTCTCTGTCTAGTCACTGCCAACCACAGTGTCTACCACTTCCCCAAATAGTAGCATCAGTCGGGACCCGTGCTTCAGCGTGTAAGCCTGTAGGGGATGTTTCCTGCCTAAGATATAACACAGAGCCTTTCCAATCATAAAAGATGCTCCAGTGCATATCCTTGTATAACTCTGTACAACATATGAATATTTATGGAGGACAGATCAGGAAAATGGAGCCTCTCTTGGAAATCACATGAATAATTAAACTTCTGATATAGGAGTGATCTACATTTCAAAGGGCTATGATTTACCCTTCTGAACATTGTACACACGTGCATTTCCCCATATCCCACTACCAGCTGATAGTATCAATCTCTGCAAACTTCTGCCGATTTGATGAGAAAGTTGTATTTGTTACTTTAATTATCTATTTTCATTTAGTAGTTCCTGTTACTGCTGTATGTGCCCTCCTAGGACAGTGATTCACTTAAAGAGGGTTCAAATGACTGTTGAGTAAATGGAAGAATAATATATTGGTCATATTTCTGTAATTCTTTGTTGGTTCATACCTTTTTTTCCTATTTTTTAAATTCATCTATTTATTTTACATCCTGACCCCAGTTTTCCCTCCCTTCTCTTCTTCCAATCTCTCCCCTCCCCTCCCCTTGGCCCCTCCCCAACCCTTCCCTCCTCTATTTCTATTCAGAAAAGAGCAGGCCTTCCATGGATATCAATAAGACACAGTATATCAAGTTGCAGTAAGACTAAGCACCTCCCCTGCATTAAGGTGACCAGAATGAGCAATAGGGTCCCAAAAGCCAGCAAAAGAATCAAAGACAGCCCCTGTTTCCACTGCTAGGAGTCCCAGAAGAAGACCGAGCTACACAACATCACATATATGCAGAGAGCCTAAGTAAGTCCCATGCCTGCTCTCTAGATGTTGACTCGGCCTCTGTCAGCCCAGATTAGCGGATTCTGTGGGTTTTCTTGTGGTGTCCTTAATCCCGCTGCCTTCTACATTCCTTTCTCCCCCTCTTCAGCAGGATTCCCTACACTTGGCCTCGGCTGTGGGTCTGCATCTGTTTCCAGTAGTTACCGGATGAAGCCTCTCTGATGACCGTTGGGCTAGGCACCAATCTGTGAGTATAGCAGAGTATCATTAGGCATCATACATCGACTTTCCCCTTTCCTAGGTCTCTGGGCCATCCAGCCTGTGGGTCCTGGTGCCTCAGGCAGCGTTATGTGTAGGCTCAATCTCGTGGCATGGATCTGAGGCTGGATCAGTCATTGGTTGGTCAGTCTCATAATCTTTGTGTCACCCTTACCCCATCCCATCCCACAGGCAGGGTAGACTGACTACAGGTTGAAGGCTGTATGGCTGGGCTGGTGTCCCAATTCTTGCGTTTTCCTTGCTCCACATCCTCTCCAGCACTGCCCTTGGTGTTTTTGACCTTAGCCATTCTGGCAGGTGTAAGATGGAATCTCAGAGTGGTTTTGATTTTCATTTCCCTGATGGCTAAGGATGCTGTCTTAGGGGTTTCTATTGCTATGAAGAGACACTGTTGACCACAGAAATTCTTATAAAGGCAAACATTTAATTGGGGTGGTTTGCTTTCAGTTCAGAGATTTGATCCATTATCATCATGGCAGGAAGCAAAGCAGTATGCAGACACACGTGGTGCTGGAGCTGAGAGTCCTGTCATCTTGACTCACAGCAAAAGTGGTTTGAAACACTAG